ACTCACTCACACACACACACACACACACACACACACACACACACACACACACACACACACACAGGGCAGTAGATCATAACGGCGAAGCGTTTTGGAATCGATTTTGATGACTCACCATGTTGCTGGAATACAGTACATCCTCATCTCGTCACCAGCACATAAAACATCAAGCAGTAGAAGTCAGTCATGTGCATGTTTGGTTCACAACATGAGGTCCTCTGGTTTATCTTGTGCATTTCATTCTCGGATGAGAGGGCCTAAATGAGCTGGAAACACTTGCATTGTGACGTCCAAAACGTTTCCTCAATGCCAACTCCAAAAATGATGATGACAAAGGATCACAGTATTCAAACCTGATTGTGCAAGGCTCTCCCAACCAGCGGTACACAAGCACATTTTAACAGGCATGTGCATTTTTAGATCACACTTTGGCATCTCCGTTGTTCAGACAGTACAGCATGGTAAAACATTGAGGCTATTTGTAAGGAAAATGAATGTGGAAATGAATAAATCAGGCACATGTGAAAAGCAACCACACCCTCAAATCCCGTCTGAGCACTGCCGGATTCATGATCCCCCAACACCCCCGTCCTAACCCTCACGACTGGCTGGCTTCTGATGGCACCCTTGACATTCCAGCTGTGATAAGAGTGTTTAAAAGCACTCAGGAACATGCTAATGGCTCATCACAGCGGTCGCAGGCACGACCTTTGAACCTGCCCAATGGAGCAGCTAACAGGAGTGGGATTGTGAGGTGAAATGAGGCAGATGTTGTATGTCGCTCAGCACACTGCAGCTTGCGTAGGTCTCATTGTGTCGTGTGTGTGTGTGCGTGTGTGTGTGTGTGTGTGTGTGTGTGTGCGTGTGTGTGTGTGTGTGTGTGTGTGTGTGTGTGTGTGCCGCGTGTGTGTGCCGCGTGTGTGTGTGTGTGTTTGGGACCAATTAAACATCTGATTTCATCATGCTGAAAAATACAGTAGGTGAGCTTTCAAAAGTGTTGAGTAACACAACACAATTCTTGGGCCTCAAAAACAGTCTGATTTTCAACTTTCTTTTGGTACAATTTCTACTGAAATAATGATGAACACATACTTAATTTGGTTTTGACTTTTGTTTGTTGTTGTGCTTGACAGCACTTGAGTCCAGCTCTTTTGAGCTCAGGCAGCTGTTAAAGGTTGTCGGCTCAATGTCTGTCATGTGCTTTACTGTGGAGTCAGCCAGTCCTCCCTCAAATGTCTCCAGTTGCTTCAAAATGCTGCAGCTCAACTCTGAACTAGAACACACAAGTGGGAGCATAGAATACATATTCTGAACTCCTTAAACTTGGGTGCCTGCGTACTTTGGAGTTCATCCTTACATTCGGCGGCTTGCTTTCAAATTTCAAATCAGTCTTGCCCCGCCTCCCTTTTCTGAGCGGCTCAATCCCTCCACTTCTGCCTCCGTCACTGGTCCCTGACTTTGCGATGGGATCCCTGTGCACTTTGGACAAGCACCTTCACTGTCCATTTTTAAAATCTGGTTTCCAACCCATTTTTTTCCTTGGTGTAAAAAAAATAAATAAAATGGATATGGATATTTATTAAGCGCCGTCTGATGGCGGTGCTAGGTGTGTAGCCTTCAAGCAGTTGCAGGAAAGAAGTGAACATATGAAATCACTTACTAATTGGAACATTTTTAATTGCATATGTGTGTATCGAAGAGAGGATGGATGGGATCGATGTCACAGCTGTCAGCATTGGTCAGTCCTTTTGTCTCGCCTCTCCTCCCATTAACCACCTCCTCGGTTCCAGCTCGTCCTCTCCTCTTCCACGACTACACATATCCTCTACTCCTCCAGCATCCTTCACCAAGGCAGGCGAGTCACTTCTATGGCTCATTTAATCCTAACGCTGCTAGTTCAAACCGGCCCATTAAGGCCTCAGCCCTTGTTTGGTCGTCCATTTCACCTCATTTGGGTCCACTGATGTTGACAATTCAGTCAGCCCCGCCTCTGGCTCTGTGCTTTGCACTCCACTGCATGACACTGAAATCTTCACAGTGATGAGCTGTAATTAGCCCACTGGTGAAACATCCTCCAGTCCTCTCAATCCTTGTCCATCCCTCTTCTCAGCGACCTTCCCCCGCTCTCCAAGGTCACGGAGCACTCTCTTGTGCTGGTGCCAACGTGTGGTGGCGCGTAGAGCAGCGCCAGGAACTCCAACAGAGACGACTGAGCGACTGCCAAATAAGCATCGTTGCCCGGTTATCAGTGGTTTCTTTTGTCTCTTCCTTTTGAAGGTGCTAATGATGGTGTGTGCTAACAGCTCTTTCTGTGTGATACCGAGTGGAGCAAACAATCAGCGGGCTGCCCCTCGTGGTGCCACGATGTGGGAATACGGCTCGGACCGGCTCCAAAGGTACAGATGGAGAATGGATGGACTCCTGGCAGGGGTGGTTTGCCACACAGGAAGCCATAAATTCAGGAGAGGACTCTGGGCTGGATCTGGACCCAGATTCCATCCTTTGTCGAACGAGCACAAATCTATGACTAGATTATTTTGACACCCCTTTCTGGGGAGTTACACAGAATGTGATCAGCTTTCACGGTTTATTCAGAACATCTTTTGTGAATGGAGTGAGCGGGTGTGTATGCGGTACAAGCAGTGAGGTGAGAAGTCCAAGGAAGCAGTTTCATCACAAACAGAGAATGTCACCGATGAAGGTTTTTGTAGTGGTCGTGGTCTGTCAGATTTGTGGGGGTTTGTCACGGAGGGGTGCAGCCAAGAGTGTGCCCAAATGCTGGGAAGCAGCAGGGGCAAGGCAGGTGAACAGGGAGGATCTCCCAATTGGTGTTTGTTTACAAAATGCAAGCACACCTATTGCTAGAATGAAAATACTCAAAGTAAAAACTGAAAAAAAAAATATGACAGAAAACACGATGTGACAAAGGCTACATGATGTATGCAAAAACGGAATGAAATACAAACAAATCGAAGAGACAACAAGGCACACCTGGGCATCATACGAGTGACTAGAGGAAGGACTGGAGTGTGAACAACCATTTCAAATTTGACTGAAATAGTGAAAAGACGTGGTAGTTGTCTTTGTGTGGTTTTCTTTCTTTCTGTTTTCATCTTCTTCAAGAATGATCTTCGAGCATGTATATTTTGTAGAAACAATTTTCTGAAGTGACTTGAATGTTTTTGTTGTTTTTTTTTTTTTAATTTACATGAGGATTCTGTTCCAAAGCTCAATGTGAACATAAAGTTTGTTTTTCCAAGTCCTTCCAGTTCAATGCGAAACTAAACAATTACAAGACTGTTGAACCGTAATGAAACTTTTTTCTACCACTGTCTACTTGATTTGAGAGTCATTAGGTGATTCGGAATGAATATTATGATAGCCAGACCTCGATCAGATTGCAGACATTATCCGGAAAGGGATCTCTTGAACCTTTAAATGAAGTCGCCTGCAGCATACAATTCCCTGGACACTTCATCCAGTACACTTGCGCAAATGCAATCCAATATAATAATAATAATAATAATAATAATAATAATGCAAATATAATAATGACATTCTGTTTTGATTGACCGTGCATCCTTTCACCGTTGCAATCCCCCCACCAGGAGAGCTCATGTTTCTTTAATCATTCTGAATCATTCACTTCATCCGATGCATGTGTACACATCTGTCCATCATTTGCGCATTGGCGTCTTGTCGTTGGGGTTTTTTTGTCCATCTGTCCAGCTCGTCCATATGGACCACTGGCCACGTCCTGATAATTAACCAAATGGTGAGACACTCATTGTTGCTCAGATTTTCCAGTTAACTCTCCCTCTGTGTATTAACTCCGTGTCTCAGTCTGACCACATGGTGCAGGCTGATGTTTCTCCCATTGTGACACATGGCCCCTGCTGGCCTCCCGCACCAAACCCAACCTCCATTCTCTTTTATGTGGCAGAAAGAAGACCAGCGGGAGGGCACGAGGGGCTCAACGACAAGCCAAACGACGAGTCCTCCACTTGTGTGTGCGTGCGCACGCGTGTGTGTGTGTGAGGACTTGGATGGGCCAGTGAGCCATGGGTCACGTACAGCGACAGCAGGTTGGCAGTAGGGGGCGGCGCTTGGGCCTCCTCCTCCTCATCCTCCCCATCTTCCTCTCCCTCCTCCAGCCCAGCCAAGCAACCATACACATTCCCTCCAACTGTGAGTATACTCTGATGTCATATTGCAAGACGGGTGCTTCTGCATTCACCAAATTGTTGTGCTAATTCAATAATGTTGACTCATCAAAGTGTGCTAATTATTCTATTTCTTTGTGATTCAATAGAGCGAGGAGCAGATTGAGTGTCTTTGTCTTCAGTGCTGGATTTTTGTGCTCAAAATTGAGGCTCCTTTTTCCTCCTTATGCAGGGGTAGGGAACTCCAGTTCCTCGAGAGCCATGTACTGCCTGTTTTAGGGCCCTCCCGACTCCAACACACCTTTAATTGTTCATGCCTCGACAGAGCTTGCTGATGAGCTGATCGTTTGAATCAGGCGTGTTGGAGTAGGGAGGGACCTAAAACAGGCAGGATATGGCTCTCGAGGAACCGGAGTTCCCTACCCCTGCCCTTATGCAATTGTGTGTCTAATTACTTTCTAATTGATCCTGTCGTGGAGCATTGATTACTCACTCTATTGATCCAGTTCCTCTGAGCAAATCAGAATCAGAACGTGTTGTAATTCAATCAACAATGGGATTGCTCAAGAAAAAAAACAGTACCAGTTTTGCTCGCTCTGATCCCAAGTCTTTGTCTTCCTCTTTGCCAAGCCTTTCTCAAACATTTGAAGTCACATGCTGCTTTAACATCCAAAAGAATCTACACCCCACATCCCCTTGCACTACAAAAAAAATGTAATCACGCAAACATAATAGGATTTGTTTATTTGGGGTAAAAATGCAACAACACAATCTCACAGGTTCAAATAAACAAATAATGATGGCACTTCACTAATGGTGATCATCCATCCATTTTCTAATCCGCTTATCCTCACGAGGGTTTGGGGGTATGCTGGAGCCCATCCCAGCAGAGCAGTAGGCAGGGTTCACCCTGAACGGGTTGCCAGCCAATCGCAGGGAACACATCGACGAACAACCATTCGCGCTCACAATCACACGTAGGGACAATTTAGGGTGTTCAAACAGCCTGCCATGCATGTTTTTGGAATGTGGGAGGAAACTGGAATACCCGGAGAAAACCCACGCAGGCCTGGGGCGAACATGCAAACTCCACACAGGAAGGCCAAAGTCAGAATCGAACCCTTACACCTCTGCACTGTGAGGCCGACGCACGAAGCAGTCACACACCGTGCATCCCTAATGACACTCATGTGCATCGCAAACAACAACAATGTTGTTTTTCAATCAACTCGAGGAGGGGTGTCCAAATCTGGTCCTCAAAGGCTGCGTTCCTGCTTGTTTTAGATGTTTCCCTCCTTCGTTCAAATGATCAGCTCATAACTAACCTCTTCAGAAGCCTGATAATGATCCGAGTCATTTGAATCAGGTGTGTTGGAGGAGGGAAACATCTAAAACATGTGGGAGAGCCACCCCTGAGGATCAGATTTGGACACCCCTGAATGCTATTTTTGAGTTTGGCATTTAGTTTGAGGGGGAAAACAAAACAAAACACACGCACACGCACGCACACACACACACACACACACACACACACACACACACACACACACACACACACACACACACACACACGTACTGTAAAACTTAAAGCATAAATTTTGGAAATTAAATTATTTTCGGCGTTGACGCACAAAAAAAAATTCGGTTAACTCCTTTTTAGGTTTCGTCTCTGAATCTGTACTTTGATGATTAACAATAATTTCATTTTCCTCAAGCAAATATATTTTGCAAGCCTCATAGAAAATTAATTCTGGAATATTGTGTGATTAATTAGCTTCAAAATTGTAATCACTTGACAGCCCTCGTATATGAGTCTACAATATTAATCTCACACACTGTGTGCCTGTGCATCAGCAAGCGCATGGTTTTGGAACTCTTGCTCATGCCTGTTGGAAGAAAAGAGGGCGGTCCAGCAAGTAAATTGCGGGTAGAGGTGCAGCTGATCCGGCAAAGTGTCAAAACAGAAAGACAAAGCGTTCCAGTAACTGTATTTGCTGCTTGCCTTTATGGAAAGTGCTTGCAGTGAGTCACTGTCCTTCATCACCCACGCACGCTTGTGAACAAACAAGCTCAGTTACACGCACGCACGCGCACACGCGCACACGCGCTCACACACACACACACACACACACACACACACACACACACACACACACACACACACACACACACACACGCACACACACACACATGGCGTGAATTCGAATGAAAGGACATAAAACTAGCCAGCCGTCTTCTTTCCTCAAGGGTGGGGGTGGGGTTATGGCGAGCGCGAAATGATGTGGAGGAAGAGGAAGGAAGAGGAAGACAAAGATGGAAAAGGTCAAGGCGCCTCTTGCCTTTCAATTTACGAGCTGGTGACATGTCAGTGCAAATCAGTGATTTGGATCAATGTGTTTGAGCATGTGTGTGGGGGGGGGGGGCGCAAGACACTAATGTGTCATTCATTATTTTGTTCATGTGTACCATGATTGTTTTTCACGTATCTAACGACACGATCTATTGTCTATGTACAATGAACCAGAAAATCTCTTGAGTGACGCCGGGTCACGTTTATTTTGCAATCGTTACAAAGCAAAATACTGTGGTGCTTTGTGATTCAAGCGACGCAAATTGCTAGTATTTCTATAAAATACTCACTTCACAACAAGCAGCAGGTCGGCAGCTGTCGGTCAATCCTTGGAAAAAGAGGCTTCAAGTTGATTATTGCCACTCCCAGTTCAAGGTTACCGTCAAACTAAAAATGAATATGTGTATTTAAAGGAGCCATATAGCCTCGCTCTAGATAAATCACTTTGACTTCGTGCTAACAAACGATGAGAAATCCCCTCGACGGGCTCACCAACAAGCACAGACGCTCCCCGACTTACGAACATCCGAGTTACGAACAACGGTACATACGAACATTTTTACGGGTATGTCGAAAAAGAAAAGAAAAAGTTCGATTTTGTATTGCGCGCCTTTTTCCGAGTACAGTACAGGTGTAGTGCTTCTTTCCACCGCTAATACTGACGTGAGGCGCTGTGAGAGCTCGCCCAGCATCCACCCCGAATCCGGCTTCCTCTGCCCAGTTGTTAAATATCTCGTGCATCCATTATTCAATATGGTTGGTGAAAAGCGAAAGGCTTCTAGTGAGAGTGGAAGTGTAAAGAAGAGGCAAGCCATTTCATTTCAAATGAAAGCGGCAAAAATAAAGAAGCTTGATGCAGGGTGAGAAAATGGTGAGCGTTGCACGTGCATACAACATGAATCGTTCGACCATCGGTACCATTTATAAACAGAAAGATCGCATAATGGAACACGTGAAAGGTGCAGTGCCGATGCAACCGACGATCATTAGCAAGTAAACATACTTATATAAGCCTTAAACATACATTCCATACAAAATATAGCACTGAAGCAACTTACGAACGAATTCACCTTACGAACGATCGTTCGGAACGTATCTCGTTCGTAAGCTGTGGAGCGTCTGCATTGGCGTCGCTTTGTTGCATCTCAAGGCAGCATTGTATGCTAAAATTTGGATCAATTGGAACAGAAGTCATGTGTTTGAGAGTGAAACCGTTCTTAAATGCTTGCAAACTGTAAAGTTGGCGAAAGTGAAGTACCATTGCGTTTAAGGAAGCAAAATTGTCCGAGCTCTGTCATGTGCTGTGTTTGGCCAATCTGTGTCAACAGGGCGCGGCTTCGCAAAAAGCCAAAACAAATTTCCTATTCCCGATCTGTATCTTTACTTCTATTCACTGTTTGACTGTCAATGCGGCATGCAAAGTGACAGCTGTCTAAGTTCGACATCTTTACGTCTCTCCTGTGTACTGTAACTAAAACCTTTTCTCCCTCATGCCTGCTTTGTTGCTTCCACTGTGCGTTCCAAAAAGACCACATCAGTGAAAGTAAGTGCTTTTCCTGACCAATCTTTGGTAATGCAGGTGCTGGCACAGCTCCTTGTAAACACATCCGTTATGCCGCTGGGGCTATTTTCCTTCCAGCGCACAGTTCACAAAATAAATAAATAGATAAATGAAAAGTGGGGAGGCTTTGCTCTGAGCTGCACTTGAATTAATCCAGCATTTGCACTGTTATGCTTGTGCGTCTGAGTGTGCAGTGCCCTTGCATGTGCCCAACTGCCCATATTGTCTTTTTCCGTGTGCGCGCGCGCGTGTGTGTGTGTGTGTGTGTGTGTGTGTGTGTGTGTGTGTGTGTGTGTGTGTGTGTGTGTGTCACTGTGAGCCTCTCGGTAGTCACATGGGCAGCATGGGGATATCAAAGCGCCACCTTGCTCTGCACAGCCCCCAGCGCAGAACTTGAATTTGATCAGGAAGGGGCTTATTAGCTTTCATTGCATTCCCTCACTCTCTCACTACCTTTCCCTTCTGTCGAACCTTTTGTCGATTTCATCGCCGCGCATCGGTCTACGCGGCTGCCACGGCAACGGCAACCCGCTTCGTGGCTCGCTCGACATCTTGCTCTCCTTTACTGACTGAAGCTGGCTCTCACTGCTGTCCAATCACTTCTTTGAAAGGCCATTGCAGTTACCGAGTCAATTAATTCACCAGTGGCCCCTTTAAAAGGTACACTTGCACGATCTAATCAGAATCCACTGCTAAATTGCTTCCTTTACGAGACAATCTTAGGAATATTAATTATTCCGAACACTAACCAATTATATAGATTCTTATTACACGTCAAGGCTGCGGGGTATGGAGATAAAACGGAAACGTTATCTTCCAAGAAAAAGATTCAAATGTGGCTACATTTTGCAAAACCTGCTTTGAAATTCCTCCTACATTTGTGAGAAAATGTTAATGATGCAATAAAACCAAGGTTGATTTTAATTGTATTTTTTGGAGTCGTGATTATAAAAGATATGTTTGGCACAAAAGCAAAACTGCTCATCTTCAATACAGTGTGGCATGACGGCGGCAGCGTCAGCTTTGGGGCTCTTTTTTTTCTTCAGCGGAAACTGGGACATTAGTCAAGGTGAAGGGAACAAATAACATTTCCCAGTAGCACTCCGTGTTGACACTAAACCTTCAGGCTTCTTCTAGAAAGAAAAACATGAAAGGGAAACCCTGCTAGAAACAAGTAGTTTAAACGGTGGCCAGGATGTGCTGCCTCCCATTTCATTAACATTAGTTCAATCTATCTTTACCGTTACCTACTTTTTAATCTCCCCTTTTAAAAAACAAATAACAAAACCCTATTTTTTTCCCAGTGTTAGATTGCACAGGTTCTAAGTCACATTAATAGCTGAAAAGATTTCGACATGTTTGATCTTGCTCTCATTTTTCTTCAATCACAGAAAGCCAGCATTTGAACAGGGGTATGTAGACTTTTTTTAAGATCCTTAGTGAAGGCTGTGACAGAGACAGACTAGTAACAAGCAAAGATGATGGTCCACTAAAATCGCCCTTTCACGCCCCTCTTGAATGATGCTGCATCCACTTTGCTCACTTCCCAACCAATTTCCTCCTCCTCCGACATGACAACTCCGTCTCTTGGGACTGCTTCCTCATCCTATTGACCGAATGCAGACGTGGAGTTCGAGGCAGCTGTTGACCTAAAGATGATTGGTGTCTCTGTGCCTTCTGGTCATCGGGTCATGTATGCATTACCCCGGAGTAATATGTCTCAAAGCACTAGTTAATGCATGTGTAATGAAACCAAACAAATGGTGCACCACTCCCATAAAATAATGGTGCCCGTAGCAAGAGTTGATAAATCGGTAATAATAACACAATACAAGACAGACTGATAAAGTTACTTTTTTAAATCAAGTGAACTCATAAGTTGAGTGCATGTTACCTCCATATCTAGCGTTAGGATATCCAAGGTCTTAATAAAGTGATAGACAAAATTGAAATAACTAATAAATTGGGCACGCAGCGTAGCAGAGGCGAGCAGGAAGTTGCTTTCACAGTTTTTATTTCACGACTCTCAACTCCATTTACGGAGTCATTTTGAATAATGCTAATTTCGAATCCATAGCAGGCCATCTTTCAGGCAAAATGTCCATAATTTGTTCATGTCTTGACATAGAAAAAACTGAGAAAATAAATATTTGGTTCCAGGATCAAACCGTCAGCATCAGAAAACAAGCAACATTTAACACCCTCAACTGTCATGCTAGTGTAAAAGGAAGTTAGCCTCAGTTATTATGAAAATGCAAAAACGGTATGATGCTTGACCTTTGTGTGTGTTGACACTGGAGTTGTGGGCTTATGTCATGTAAATTCATGGGTATAATCGCATACTTCTTATCTTCCTATTGGGGATCGGGACGGGGGGGGGGGGGTCCATCTTTGAAAAAGTTGTAAAACTGGAAAAAGCCAAAACTAAACAAATGCCCAGACCAAATCCTTTGTGCCGACATCTCATGTGACACCCTGTTTGCCAGCGTGTTTTGGACAAGATTATCTCATTGAACAGGCTAATCAAATTCTGATTAGAATCCTATATGAACACACAAACGGTGAAGCAACACATGTAGAAACTCAGATTAAAGTCTGGTCTTTGAGCAAAGTGGCATTCTGTTGCCTTCGTTCCCAATGTGTAGCCATTATGACAATGTGTGTTTTTGATCCTTGCAGTCAAGAGGCCTCCTGTTATCGTCACACAACCCGAGTCCGTCACCGTCTTCAGCGTGGAAGATCTCGTCATGACCTGCGAAGCCTCGGGAAACCCGCCGCCCATGTTCGTATGCGCACACACGCACACACTGAGTTAGACTTTCAGGGTGACTTTCAGTCTCCGTATTGATTAGTGCATCATGCTTCAGCTTTCTGTCACGATTCTGTCATCAACAAAGGACGAATGTGGCAAAGCAATCTCTCCAAGTGGTTGAGCGCAGAGGTTGCCAAGCAAAGGAGGAATATCACAATGAGACTTAATAAGCTCTGGGATCCCACCCGGGCTTCAATTTATTTGCGTCCTCAAATTTAATCCCATAAGGACATGCAGTTATTCGAGTCAAATGTGGTTGTGTTTCGATTCTGTTGCAGTTTTCGATGGACGAAGGACGGAAAGGAGTTTGACCCAGGCACTGACCCGGAGCTGAAGGTGACGGAGCGCTTGGGTTCATTCGCCTTCTACACCCTCAGCAACACAGTGGACTCCCTGAAGCAGTACCAGGGCAAATACGTGTGCTACGCATCCAACGAGCTCGGCACGGCCGTCTCCAATGAGGCCACACTCAACACTGACGGTGAGAAGGCACCCGACCTTGATTCAACACAAAATGGTCACTGACTGAAGTTCCAACAAGTCAATAGTCATGTCATGGATGGCTTAACGCTTGCATTTTAACCTTTAAGCCTTGTTGGATTTTTATTACCCTTTCACCTTGTTTGTGGCATTTTTTCCCATGTACACACTTATTATGGACATTTTGAAATTGTTTAGCTTTTCGGCTTCTTTTACTACGTACAATATTTATTTTTACATCAGCTCTTCTCAATATGAAGTAAGCCTATGCATTCATTGGTTTTGGTTTTTCAAACTCTGGTGTGTTTGCACATCACACAGGTTGGAAAAACAAGGTCAATATATATGTGTAAATAAAAAAAAATATATATATACATATATATATCGAGCAAACAAGCTAATGGTAACAGCACTAATAGCTAATGCTAATTTGTGCTAAGACTGCAGCTCTCCAAAACATTTGATTTGTAGAGATTTTCACCACTGACTCTTGTGTTAGCAGAAAAGGAAAAAAAAAGAACTTGTGCTACTTCGACCATGTAAATGGAAGACACCACGGCTGAACTGCATCTACTTTGGGATATATATATATATATATATACACACACACACACACACAGTATATAAATAAAATCTGTTCCACTTTTTTTCTCTTATATTGAAGAGGCTCCATATATTTGTTCCATTTGAGTGCAGTAAACCATTAAACGTCTGTTTAATATGCTAAGAATATGACATGGCATTGCACCCTTGTCCAAAATTTCAATTATGTGTTCTGTTAGAAGACATATCAACCAAAACATTTCAGATTTTGAGTCTAGAATGAGGCCTTTGGGTATTGTACCCAAACTGTTCTATTCAGCTCAAAAAAATAAAAGGATTGTCGTTTGGGTTTCATTTGGCCAAATTTGGTCACAGTAAAGGCAAAAAGTTACAATGTTATCTTGTTGATATTATATAGCATATTATATTATAGTGCATTTATACATGTGAAGTTGGAATTAACAAGATTCACTCTTCTAATAAGTTTCATTATATAACAAAGAAAAAAAAGTGAGATGGGCACAAATAAGCAGCATAAAGCCCAGAGGTGTTTTTTTTTGTTTTTGTTTTTTTGTTTTAAATCTTGAAATTGAAAATTAGTTCTACACTTAAGAAGCCTGATATATTTGAAATGTATTTGGAATGCTTGAGCGCTCCTGTAATTGAGCTCACGCCAGCTAATTGCCTGTTTGCAGGCCAATAGCAGAGCTGTGTGATGTCGCGTTGTCCTGGTTTCTAAAGAGCTCATTTGTTCATAAATGAAGACTCAGAATGGGACAACACGGCACAGCCACCTTGAACATAATGACATGCAAGAACATGATGGCAGCAGACGGAACACACACACACACACACACACACACACACACACACACACACACACACACACACACACACACACACACACACACACAGAGATCAACGCACACAAAAATACACTTATGCAAGGCCATGGACACGTGTAATGCAAAGCGCACTTTTGTGTATCCATCACCTATGTGGCTGGATCTCTCCACGGCGAACCCCTTCACTCACAGTTTCCCTGACAACCGTTTCCCCAGAAACACTGGTGAGCTGATGTCATGCAAAGCCCTCTTCAGTGGCTCCCTTGGGGTTGCGCACGATGAGCAGAGGGGAGGCACCAAGCAAATCTAGCACGCACAACTCCCAAATCACATTGTTCCACTCCCTCCAGACAAAAGAGCTGCTTTCGTCTACTTCTCCATCCTCCTTGTAAGTGATGAGTGTCAAGTCTTGTTGCCAACGTGACGGCGACAAGATACTGTTGTGCCTTCAGGTGCTGGGCAACCGACAAGTTTTTCGAGAAACGGGCTGTTGTTCAGACAATATTTTGCTTTGACAACCGAGCGAAAACTGGAGCCCAAAGTGCTGAATTGTGGCAGTGAACTCAATGCACGTCCTACAAGCAACGATTGGGCAGCTAGTGAACAATTCTTTGAAAAAGAAGTATCAAGATGTTTAATGTTCAGTCCCAGCTGAAGCGTCCTGTCAAAGTAAACATCAAACAAATAGAATAACGCATCGTGTCTTCAAAAAACCCTCATAAAATGACCTTGAGTCACTTTAGCTTAATACTAGCAAACAATGCGAAACACCACAGCATCAGTGTTGTGGCGCTATAACCCTTTCAGCCAACAATATCTGAACACAAATGAAGCAACACACGTAGACAGGTAACAATGCTCCCAAGCATATATTCTTTATCCTTTGCAAACAATCACTGCAGCTTACTGAATCAGTTGTGAAATTCCTCTTCGTGCGTGTCTCTGTCTCTGCATCATATTGCCACCAGGTGACCAAGGCACGCACACACGCAGGCACACACACACACACACACACACACACACACACACACACACACACACACACACACACACCAGAAGCAGCAGCACAATCTCCGTTGCATTGAGACCAAAACTGTTTTTTTTTTTTTTTTTTTTTTTTAACATTATGTCAAATGATATCTTGGCTTTGTGTTTGAGTACAGTATCGTAGAGTGCTATTTTTCCGGTAATAAGCACATTACAACAAATTTGTTTGGCTTTTATCTGGAAGCTTGGAACACATTAATGGCATTTCCATCTTTTTCAGTCGAGAAAGATAAGTTGAGATACAAATGTTTTGATCACGGTACAAACAAAACTCTTGTCAAGGCACGGGTTGTTGTGAACATATTCCAACGCGTGGTGGTGCTCTTCTCATGAGCGAATGTTTCCCTTTCCTCTGCCCCATTCAGCCCCGCCGTCCCAACAGAAAGAGAAAAAAGTACATTTGAAGTCTGAAGAGGGAAGCAGTATTGTTCTGAAGTGCAACCCCCCACAGAGCTCCATGGAGCCCATCATTCACTGGATGGATTGGAGTGAGTACGCACTCTTTCATTTCTTTGCCATTTTCGTGTTCTGTTGACACATCCTTTAGTCAACATCCACCATGAATTGCTTCATCAATGTCTTGCTTTTTCCTCCATGTGACGTCATAGTCTCAACTGGTTTTGAGACTATGACCTTAGCGAGTGGAAAGGTCACAGCAATATAACCATCTCGGTCGAGTCGCTCATCTGATTACGTGCGTCAAAGTGGCCTACGTATTCTAACCAAAGTCCACATTGGTCTCCATTGAATTGTGCTGTTGTCTCACATCTCCTTGCAGAGCTCCGTCACATCCAACTGAGTGAGCGGGTGGTGGTGGGCAAGGATGGCAATCTGTACTTTGCCCACCTGAAAACCACGGACAGCAGGGACGACTACACCTGCAATGTCCAATATCTGGCAACTCGCACCATTCTGGCAAAGGAACCTGTCACTCTGACCGTCAACCCGAGTAAGTTTCACTCAAGTCGACAAGATGCACCAAAGACTGCGGGAAATGAGCGTTCTCCAATAATGGCCGCATCGAACGATTGCTTTGAGACTTCAGCCCAATTTAATTGGGCCACATGAGTGAACGCAACATAGCAGACACACCACTGGTGGAGCTATCACCTCCTCCGTCTCAGTGGTAACATCTCACACTGGGATGTGGCTGCCAACATCTGTGGCTCACGCAGTGGCGAGATGACCAGCACGTTACACAGCAGCACCTTGAGAAATGACACTTGGGTCTGTTGTGTGTGAATGCTTGTGCTTCAGCCAACTCAGTCCTGCGGAACAGAAGGCCCCACATGATGAGACCTACTGGAAGCCACAGCACTTACGATGCACTCAGGGGCCAGACCATCGAGCTCGAGTGCATCGTCCAAGGCTAGTGAGTGTCTAAATGTGCGCGTACTGTATGTGCTGAAACGTATATGATGCCTGGAGACGCACCTTTCAGTCAAGTGGACCTTCTTAACACCCAGTTTTCCTCCCACTCCTATTATCTTGGCTATTGCACTCTCTTGCCCACTTTGCTTCTTGAATCTCCTTCCTCTTCCTCTCAGTTTTAATCATCCGTCAATTCTTTCCTCTCAGTCCGACTCCAAAAGTATTGTGGGTTAGGAAAGACGGCGAGCTGTCCGAATTACGGACTGCCAAAGAAATGTTTGACCGCCGTCTGCGCTTCACCAACATCTCAGAAAGTGATGCTGGCGAGTATCAGTGTCTTGCTGAGAATTCCCAAGGGAAGGCCCTACACTCTTACACTGTGGCAGTGGAAGGTACGTCAAACGCACACACACAACCAGTGGTATATACATGCGCACTTGCCCGTTAACATCCTGACAGTGACGGCATACCTCGCTCCTCCTCCAGACAGGCCAGAAATAGTCAAGATTAATTAAAATGTAATCATGAAAAGCTGCTTGACACAAAAATGAATACGATTTAAACGTTTCATTTAAACTTTGAACAATTAAAGGTGGAGTTGCTCAAACTGATTTCAATGTAGCTTTGTGTCGCAATGCCCCAAGCCAAGTCTTCTGTTTGCTTGTCTTTTGCAGTTATTGGCAAACTTGGATGGGCTTTTTTTTTTTTTTTTTTTTTTAAATTCACCCAATGTGGATGTTCCCGCCATAGTTTCGGAAAAGCTCCAGATGCGCAACGTCAGCGCAAGGCCACAGGTTTGCGCCCATTATGTGTGCTCCCGAGTGCACAGTAAATGATTGAAACCTTGTCAATTACGCCTCCTGCCACTGATTCGTTTCTTCGGGCACTGTGTTTTTTTGCAAAACAAATTAGAGGCACGAGATGGGGACAGAGAAGAATTATTTATTTTTTCATATCCCATTTTGTTAATGTACTTCTGTCAGGTCATGCCGATGGTTTGCACAAATATGACTTATTTTATTTTATATTTGGGGAAAACTGCAAACTCCCCCTTGAAACATGAATCCAATTTTGTCGTGGAAGCAAACTGTGCTGTAGATTTAGTAGATTTTTAACACATCATCATGTCATTTTCAATCTCTTGCAAACCTCATGGGCGCACGCAACAGTTTAGCAACACTTGCTAGTCTTCATTGTTCCAATCATGTTTATTTAAATTATTAAGTACATTTTGAATAAAAAAACCCACTCATGTGATAACCTTTTAATTTGCTAGCTGCTCCCTACTGGACCAAAGAACCGGTCAGTATGTTATACGCTCCCGGTGAGAATGTCAGACTTGACTGCCAGGCAGAGGGCATCCCTACTCCGGTCATCGCTTGGACCATCAATGGGATCCCTCTCTCATGTCAGTACGCAAACAAATGCACGCACGTATGAATAAAGCACCTTGCACATAGTTATGCGCTTTTACTCTGTGTGTGTTCTTTTTTTCTTTTTTTAAACAGCAACTGACAAAGACCCCAGACGCACTCTGACGCCGAGCGGCTCTCTTATCCTAAAAGATGTGAATTTTGGAGATACGGCCATCTACCAGTGCAAGGCCTTCAACAAGCACGGAGCCATCCTCTCAAACACCAACGTTTATATCATTGGTAAAGGTTTCAGATTTTACACTACTGCTAATGGCGCGGGTAGCAAAAGTGCTTAAGTATAATACAGATACTTGGGTAAAATAAATGACTGATAAAACGAATAAAACTAATGTGTCTTATCTCCCTTTGTTGTGTCAGAGCTGCCTCCACAGATCCTAACTGAGGATGGCAACACTTACACAGTGACTGAAGGCCAGAAAGTCTTGCTGGAGTGTGACAGCTTTGGATCTCCGAAACCAAAAGTCTCATGGTGAGGCAATCAAGTCGACTTTTATTTTTTGTCCCACACTTTCTCATTTGATATGGCAATTTGATAGTGTATGATGCATTTCATTAGCAGCCTAACACTGTTGCATCTGGAGCGTGATTAATTCCGGAGCTCATGCAAAACAGCAAACCCTTGTTCGAATGCATGCATCCGCCAATTTTGTGTACACCTTATGCGGGACAAAGTCAGCCTATCGCAGCTGACTTTGGGCAAGAGGCGTGGCACACCCTGGACCAGCCAATCATCGGACACATATGGAGGAATCATCATCATTCACATCTACAGGCAATTTAAAAGTCTTCGCTTAACCTGTTCCTGGAGAAAACCCATTTAGGCTTGGCGAGAACATAAAATCCACACGGGAAGATGCGATCTTCGAATCGAACGTCCAGCCCCACGACTACGACTGTGAAACGGATGTGCTAACTGTTAGATCACTGCTGCCACCATCATTCTTCAAATACTTGCTTAAAATGGGGCATTTTTTTACTCCTGTTCCAATCCCACTTTCGTAAGCAAGTGGTAATTCTTTGTCGACCAGGCAATGTATCGCACATACTGTATATGGATGCCATTGCAACCAGTACACATACATGGTATGGTAAAGATTGGTAATTTTGATCACCTTCTTTACAACCTTTACATCTTGTGACAGTGGAAACTACACCAAATAGTGCTGCTTCTTAGAAATACATCAAATTTTCAAGAATATGATGTGGCTGTGTGTTTTTTCCAGGCACAGTGGCAGTGCCTCTTCCCTTTTGGCTGATTCCAGAATTAACCCTCTTACCACTGGAGGTCTAGAAATCTTCAATGTCACCCATGACGATGAAGGCTTCTACACGTGCTCTGTGCAGAACACCAACCTGTCCATCAGTGCAGAACTGGAGGTGCTCAGTGAGTGACACACACACACACACACACACACACACACACACACACACACACACACACACACACACACACACACACACACACACACACACAATGGTAGCACGCCTCAGCATGTCCTTTCTTTTCTCCTGCAGACAGAACAATGATCCTGTCACCTCCGCAGGCTCTGAAGGTGCAGCCTGGACAGACTGCCATCTTCACCTGTCTCTCTCTTGTGGATCCCAAACTGGCCTCTCCACTTACTCAGTGGAGGAAGAACGACCACAAGCTGTTTTCATCTGGCAACGATCTGAAGTTAGACATCACTCGACTCAAATTCAGTGTTTCATCAATGCAATGACAAAGCATCGGCAACTGCATATAAGGCAACTGTAGTGGAAGACTCACAACTGTACATGCAGATGTGAGCGTGGAAGAAAAGCACCCAAAATAGTTTAGGCGAAGATATTTATCTATCTATCTATCTATTGGACATACAAGTGTGGATGACAGCTTTATGTGAATAATTTATCATTTCCTAACTTTCCTTCTTTTAGATACACATTTGAAGGACCGGACTTGATTATCTCTGATGCCAAACCTGAAGATGAAGGAAACTACACGTGCCAAGTTATCACAAATCTGGACATGGCTGAAGCAACTGGCACACTTACTCTACATGGTGAGCTCACCGCTCTGTGATCGGATGAACATGGAACGCTGTTGGAAAACACTTTAAGAGCAAAGCACTTCAGCCAAGCAATGACAATACATTTTATAATCTACAGATCGTCCGGACCCTCCTGCTCTTCTGCAGCTGTCACAAGCTAAAAGGCGCGCAGTCACCCTCAGTTGGACTCCTGGAGATGAACACAACAGCCCTGTGATAGGTTAGTAATGACGCCGACGTTGGGCTGATTGACCTTTTGCTAAGACCTCATCCACATCCTGAATGTTTCCTTAGGGCTCCATTAAAGTCTACATCATTCTCTAAAATGTTTACCTCTGCAGAGTATGTGATTGAATTTGAGGATCAGGTTTCAAATGAGCGAGGTTGGGAAGAGTTGAGCAGAGTTTCAGGGAACAAGGACCGCGCCAGTCTCTCTCTGTGGCCCTACATGTCGTACCGTTTCCGTGTCATTGCCATCAACGAGGTGGGCAAGAGTGCTCCGAGCAATCCGACTGAGATCCACAATACAGCTGCTGAAGGTTAGAGATGTTTGTAGCCTGTATAGCCACGCATTTGCATTGCAATGGCTTAACCTCAAATGTTATGACCATAGCACCAGACAATAACCCTGAAGATGTCAGAAGTGAGTCCACCGACCCGGATACACTTGTCATCACCTGGGAGGTACCAGACGTGAAATTACCTGAAGCAACATCAGCTATTTTTCAGAGGTTTTCATGTCTCATAGGTTAGTATTCCTCTTATGACAGGAAATGGACAAACGAGACTTTAATGGACCTGACTTCAAGTACCGCGTCCTGTGGAGGCGTGTGGTGGGCAGCGGGCCCGACTGGCATCCCAACTACACAACGGCGCCGCCGTTAGTTGTCAGTAAGATCGGCAACTTCTCTGCGTTCGAGATCAAAGTGCAGGCTGTCAATGAACAGGGGGAAGGACCTGAGCCAGATCCTGTCATTGGCTACTCAGGCGAGAATTGTAAGTCATTTCTCCAAGCCACTGTTTGACCGACAATATTTGAATGTTGCGTTGTGGATATATTTTGCCTTTGTGCCTTAGTTCCACTGGAGGCCCCCATGAATGTGGGCATTGTCATCATGAACAGCACTACCATCAGGGTGACCTGGGCTGCAATAGACAGAGAGACGGTCAGAGGACATCTGCTTGGCTACAAGGTACCGATCTCATATCTGTACGTTTGAAATTAACATTAGCAGAAAGAAATCTACCCGCTCTTTGCCTCAATTTGTCAGTCAAACCAGAGGTCATGTCAGCAAGCAATATCCTGCTTGGGGAGGTGAAATAAGTTGGGGTCCTGTTCAACATTCTTATAGGCAAGCTTTGGCTAGTGAATGAACAGAAAAGATCTCTCAGAGCCCTCATGAGGTCTTACTTGGGAGAGACCGCAAGGCAGACCGATATGTTCCAACTGATTTTGGAACATATCGGGTCCCCTGTGGTGGAATTGGAAAAGGTGGCCAGAGGCAAGGAAGTTTAGGCCACACACTAGGAGCAAGTAAATGAAGAGATACCTTGAAAAATCGGAGGAAATGTTAAGTTAATTTTTTTTTCTGGCTCCAGATTCACTTGACTAGGTTTGGTCCCCGCGGTCACCACAGAGCTCGAAGGGCAAGGGAGCCAGTAACCACTGTTGTTGTTGAGACTGGAGCCAATGAGGAGAGGAAGGTGATTGCCGATCTCCAACCGTACTCCCACTACGCCTTGTCTGTCAGCGTGTTCAACAGCAAAGGAGATGGGCCGGCATCGGAAATGGTGTCCTTCGAGACTGATGAGGGAGGTAAGAAAGGGAGGTGCCAAATTGGAATGGTGGGGGATCAGGTGGGCTGTAACACTCACTGGAGGCGGTGTAAGGAAAGGTGAGGAAATGACAGGGATGAGTCAAACACAACGGAAACAGTATACAATATGTAATTGTAAAAAAAAAAAAAAGAGTGCAGTTTAAAAGGCCATTTGATCACCTACTTTGTATGTTCTTTGACTAGTTCCGCATCCACCAACATCTTTGGCGTTAGACAGTCCATCTGAGACGGAAATGACGCTGCGATGGACACCGCCGAGTCAGCCCAATGGGATTCTTATTGGGTACCACGTGCAGTACCAACAAAGTGAGCATCATTCATATTTCCGATATGACACATGATTTTCTTCTGGAGCAGGCTGGGATAGGGTCCAGCTCACTTTTGACCCTGAAGAGAAAAAGCCACCAATGGCCTATCCAGCCAGGTCTACATCCTTGACTAACCTGAAACCTATACCTAACCCGGGGGTCGGCAACACGCGGCTCCAGAGCCGCATGCGGCTCTTTAGCGCCATCTAGTGGCTCCCCGGAGCTTTATAAAAAAAATTTGGAAATGGAAAAAGATGTGGGAGGGGAATTTTTTTTTTTTTTTTTTTGTTTCTTCTGTCGGAGTAAACACATGACACAAACATTCTAAATGTTTCCCAATGCTGTAAAAAGTTGTAGAATAAATATTACATTTCAATGTTTCTGTCAACGAAGATTTACGTCATAGCCGGTGAGACACGTTTCTGTTGGCAGGGCAGGATGCAAAGCAGGTGGCTGTTGCAATAAATAAATAAATACAATTTAAAAAAACGGCGTTTCATGTGCAATTCACCGAGGGTGCTGGCAAAGAGAATCTGTAGGGCCTTGAAAAGCATTTTTAAAGCGGTACACGTGAGCTACGATAGTCAAAAACGCTGTAAAAGTGCGTCCCATGCCTCCGCGTCAGATCTCGACGAATGTAGGCATGTGGCTGTAAGTGTGTTGTGTGTGCGCAGGTCGATTGCGGTATGTTGGTTGAACGAAAAGTAGATCTTCGGTCAAAAAAGGTTGGGCACGCCTGCTCTACAGAATGCACTGCACAGAAAAAAAACATTTAATCATGAAGGGTCATCGTGTAACTGTAGCAAAAAAAAAAAAAAAAGCATAGTAGGCTAACATAGCTCATACAGCTATAGATACACGTTGCAGCTCCGAAAAAAGGAGAGCTGTGGTGTTGGTTTTTTAAAACGTACACCGTATTTATGCTTTTAACAGTCTCGACAAACACAGACACATCTGCGTCCGACTCCGTGCCTTCTCTCCTCTCGTTCGACTTGAGAGGCGTTCAAAGACAGCCTCCGAAAAACGGAAATTAATGATCACTCCAATGACAACTAAGAAAAGCCAAAATAATCCACCAAAACAGAAAATCAAGCGAGGAAATCACAAAATAAATTTATGGGGGCGTTTGTGAACACCACAAAGGAGTGAATAACATAAACAATTCGGAGACAGTCTCCTACATACATACAGCATGTGTTTCCTTCATTGTAAGATTTATACAAGGCTTTTATTTTTTGCGGCTCCAGACATATCTGTTTTTTGGGGGGTTTTTTGTCATATATGGCTCTTTCAACATTTTGGGTTGCCGACCCCTGAACTAACCACTATCTTCTAAATTTGCAGTAAAATAGCAATCACTAAAGGAATCCACGGTCAATCTGAAGTCATCCTTACACTGACTAGATATCTTCTCATCCACACTCAGTCGTGGAGAATGACGACAGCCCAATGCAGGTGGTGCAAATCGATGACGCCACAATCAGCCACCTCACCCTGAAGGGCCTGGATCGCCATAGCCACTACCGCTTCTACTTGAGGGGGCGCACTGCCGCTGGAGATGGAGAGCCCATAATGAGGGAAGGTGCCACCACTCTGGATGGAGGTATGCAGCTTCTTTGACCTCACGCAGCTGACGCAGCATTCAAGCATCGGTCACTCACAAACACAAATTCCATCCTCTTGAATATTTCTCAGTGCCTCCTGTCAACATCAGCGTGTCTCCTGGAGAGAATTTTGTTAATATAAGCTGGCTGGCCAAGAAGAGGCACAGAAATGTTCGATTCCAGATCCAATATTTCAAGGAGAACGGTAGGGCAAACGTGTGTTTTCAAAACAATGACCTTCTGGAGGTTGAGCTCAAAGTAATTTATGTCTGTACAGATGCTAATAAATGGAAGAAGACAGAGAGGGTGGACTCCTCCCAGTCCTTCTACCAGCTGCAGGGTCTCAGACCCGGTGCCCATTACCATCTGCACTTCATCCACAGCAACGTTACGTTCTTTCAGACAGAGATTGACACAGAGGGAACAGGTACTGCTTTAATGGATGAGAGTGTTGTCTTATCTCATCTTATCTGCTGTTCCTCTGGGTTTCCTGTGTTTAAAGATAAAATCAATCCTAAAGAGAAAGAACTCCTTGTAGTTCCCTGCGTTGCGATTGAAGTGCTTTTGAGTGTTAGCCTTTTTCAGTTCCCTGGGGCGATGCCACCCTGTCAGAAATTATAATGAGGTGGCTTGTTTGGATGTCGCTTCTTTTGAAGCGTTCCCTCTCCTTGTGTGTTGCCAACATTGTTCTCGCAAATATCCATCTACTTTCAAGGAGTGACTGAGATGCAGCCCGGCATTGCGACCCAGGGATGGTTCATTGGCCTGGTCAGCGCCATCGTGCTGCTTCTGCTCATACTGCTCATCCTCTGCTTTGTCCAGAGGAACAAAGGGGGAAAGTATTCAGGCAAGTGTCAATATCTTTTATTCTTGTAATATTTTTATAATTAGTGTAGTGGTTGCTTCAAAGGTACTTTTTTGTACCCTTGATTTTTACGTTCTCGGGGCATGAGTCACCACAAGCTTCACTTTTACAGCTCAGAAACATAGAAGTGGTGGGCCGAAAACTATCAGAAGCACTGACATTCATCGACAACATAAAAAAAAAAAAAAAATCAATTTATTCATCTCAGATGTCCAGCTAGCTGGCCCACAATAATGTCAGCATTTTTATCTGCTCGCATCTGCACACGTTGAGTACATTTAATCATCAGCACTTTAGATGAATATGGTGTATTTTATCGAAATGTTTTGATTCTGATTCTGAACTGCTCCAAATGATGTATGTTATATTGCCTTCATGATTCATTTTGAAGGTTTCTGTAATTGCGGTGTGATAGTGGTGCTATTAAGAGGTGGGTTCAGTCGGGTAAATTCCCCACTGACCGCCCAGGTACCAAATGTATGGGCTGCCTCTGGTCCATAACAACAAGTAAGGGCTTTGGACTTTTAAACATGTTGATACGACAGACCACTAATGTTATCTGTCCTTAATAGCCTTTTTTTTTTTTTTTTTAGTACACTGAAAAAATTGTGTTGAATTTACTCAATTTTGTTTTTGTCAAGTGGCTGCACACAATAGAATCATCTAAACTTAGATTCATTTTTTAGGTATATGCATGGTCGACTTAAAACTGTATCTGGGTCCGGACTCCCGTGCATTGGTGTAAATAGGCCCTTGAGTATTGGATTGATGCTCTCTTCTCAAGATTTATCAAGTCCAACCATTTGTCTTCCTCTTAGTGAAAGACAAAGAAGAAGGCCCAATGGACTCAGAAGCCCGGCCTATGAAGGACGAGACCTTTGGAGAGTACAGGTTGGTCGTGTTATGTGTCTGTTGCTTGTCATGTTCTGGACTTGTGATACTATCCCGATTCCCTCTGCACCGATCACCTTCCTTAACCCTTTCTGCTGCCATCATCGTCCTCTTTCCTTCCTGATGCCTGAACCTGCTTTGCAGATCTCTTGAAAGGTATGCTGTGGTTTCTAATCCCCATCCCAAATACTGTAATGGCCTCTCTGCAACATTTTCTTTGAACAAAATAGCACGAGCAACACGCAAGCTGAAACGGTCAATCAAAGTATTGGCTCGATTCCCCGTTTCATTGAACTCCTCCCTCTCGCAGTGACATGGAGGAGAAGCGCACTGCCAGCCAGCCATCACTGTGCGAGGAGAGCAAGCTGTGCAGCGAGGACAACCTGAACTTCAACGGCAGCAGCGCGTTGACCACCGAAATCAACCTGGATGAGTCTCTGGCCAGCCAGTTCAGTCGGCCCAGCGAGGGCCCAGAGGTGCCGGATAACTCCCCGCTTAACCCCACCACCGTTTCCTCCGCCACCAATGGCCTGCCCAACCAAGTCACCATCCTCGATTAACCTCCATGCATCCGCGGAGGACCGTCTGACCAAAACATGTCAACACATATGTGCCCATACGCTCCTGTTCCCTGCTGAGTAGTTTGATGACCAAGGCGCAATCAATGCATTGACAACTCAGATGCTGGTGGTATCATCTGATGGACTGGACTGTTTTGACCAAAGGCATGTCCAAAGTATTGGACAGTGTGATGTTAATCTGACTAACCCTGACATGGATAAATCCGTTAACTCTACCTGATCCTTCTTCATGTGTGCAGTGTAAAAACGTAAATGTTTAACTTTCATCTATCGTCTTTATTTCTTGCCTCAAAAGCTCTTCAAAAAAATAGAAAAACGGAATGTTGTGCGGCAGACCTGATGAAAGGGGGCTGCGTAGAGAGCAGCTGCAGACTGAAAGGGAAGTGTGATGGGACCACATCTGCGTCATTTACCATGTTTTTTTTAATCATTTCACACAATTTAAGTGCCAATGATTTTTTTGGATAACCGTGTAATGTTGTACACAATTTCTATGAGCTAGTCACGTATTCATGTAATATGTATATTTATTTCGTTTTAATTCCATTTCATGTTTATTTGAATAATGACAGAAAAACACTCTCTAATGTACGGTGCTCTGATCAATCAGCCGGAAAAGTACGTGATTGGCAGATGTCAATCAATGCCTTTCCACAACTTTCAAGAGAAGACGAGCCTGTGTGCGGTGTTGCGTCCCTTCCCCCTTTCCTTTCCTTCACACTGTATATTCCAGACTAAACCAGGAACGGAATCAAAATATTTGAAAGAATGTCCAGAGAGATTGTCTGATTGATTAATCTGTCAATTATTTGGGGGGGATTAATTGGTCAAATATTAAAATAATCTTCAGAAGCAGCTCTAAAACTGAAAAATGTGCAGCTAAACCATGCGCTCGGTATCGGAATCAGCTGAACTCGGAACACCCCTAATATATAAATACACTACCAGTCAAAAGTTTCGAGAAGCTTTCCGGTGCTCTTGATTGAGCAAGTGTCTCCAAACCTTTGACAGGTAGTGTTTGTTCTACCTTGTCTTTATTGACATACTTCATAGATTTGAGATCTGTTGGCCACGAGCACTGAGGTCAGGTTTCGTACCATTTCATGCCATCACTAACACACTAACAATAGGTAAAGGGGAACTTGCTGTGAAAACGCCGAGTAGCATCTGGTGTATATATTTGCATCGACATGTGTCTATTTAGCCATATTGCAGTATTATATCTTCTGGTCCTGACAAGTTCCTGTGCCTACTGGGTTTTGCATAGAGCGCCAAATTGATGTCATAACTCCTTCATCAAGTGTAATGTTATGATTGGAGATATATTGTACATTTTGTGTCAAGGCCTATGTGTTGCTTTCTGTATCTTGTCTTTGTCTCTTTCGGTACTGTCACGCTCCATATTTTGTTTGGGGAGCGGCACTTGCAGATAAACTGCATGAATGAGTGTACGGTGTTTGCGCGCAAGACTCCACCCTCTTTTAAGATTGCAGAAAGGTAAAATGACTGGCCATCTGCAAATTACATATATACACATAGTTGGTATTTACTTCACATCTAGAGAATGTAGTTTTTTTTTTGTACTCACATATGATTTTCGTCCATACATTATTCGTACCCTAATTTGAGTAAAAGTTGTTTATAATTTGGAGATTTTGTAAATGGAAATGACATGTCAAGTGTAAAAAAAAAAACAAAAAACAAAAACTCTAAAAAGCTGTGTTGGAAATTTTTTAAAAAATGGTCTTTTTACATTTTTACGAAAATCCCCAATCATGGATACTGTAATTATTCCTCAATACAGGCATAACCATTGTTATAAATTTTTAGTAGTTCAAATCAGTCTGGCATATGTAGCCTAGATTTAAAATAATTACTAAAAATAAAAATCAATAGCCATTCAACATACACAAGTGTACTTCAATTCAAAATTTGGACAGGACAAGGAGAAGTCGACCCCCAAATTTTATTTACAATAGTAAGTTCTATGCAGCTTGACTCCTGCATTTGTGGAGTACAGTATGCGTTAAGCAGTAAAAGCCACCCATTTTTGTCCATGTCAGGGGGCGACCATTTTGCCACTTGCTGGCGACTGTAAATGAAATCACAGTGACTCAGGTAACGACCAGTTACGGCTCTGCTTCAGAAAACAGGTGAGCCGTGATTGGTCATTGTCTGACCCCTGAGCCACTGTGATGTCATTTTCAGTTGAGAGAAAGTGACAAAATGGCCGTCCCCTGAGGTGGCTAAAAATGGGTGGATTTTGCTGATAACTCATATTCCACAAACCCAATACGTACCAGAATGCCGCGTGTCGACTAGTTGAGGCACATAGAACATATTACTGTCAAGACAACTTTGGGGTTGACTTCCGCTTTAATGTGCTGCTGCCTGCAACATATCCCTGTTACATGAGGTACAGGAGTTTATTGGGGCTATTGAATTGAGTGGGACCTTTTTCCTCCCTTAAAAAAATGTAAATCCATCCCTTGAAAGAATGCTCTGATCAACCCAACCACGACCACTTTAAAAATCTGCAGGTTCAACAGTCCTGAGCATCATCTGAAAGCAAGTTGTCATATTTCTTCTTTGTCATGTTGCTTTTGTTCTTGCCATATTATTGCAGTAAAGTAAAATTTGGCTTTTCAGCAAATTAAAAGAAGGTAAAATAAAAATAAAAAATGGGAAAAGCGTGGCCTGTAGATGTTTGGCAATGAAATACAACAAACAGCTTCCGATTTTCCACCAAATTTGCAATGAATGTTTAAGTTGCATGCCAACTGGACATAAACTGCATCAGATGAAAAAAAAAAGTTTTGCTTGCAGTCATGAAAAGTAGGATGCAGCACCACAGTGAGCATGTACAGTTGATGCAACACCACTCTCGTCAGACATCACATGTCATATAAATGCTGGCAACGAGACGTGTCAGATGACAGAAAGGACAACAAGATGCTTTAACGGTGCTCCTTGACTTGATAGTCAGTTTAAACACGCACGCGTGCGCAAACTGTACAGCCCCAATATACTGAAAAACGTTTTTGATGAATTACAGCCCCAATATACTGAAAAACGTTTTTGATGAATTACAGCCCCAATATACTGAAAAACGTTTTTGATGAATTTACGCTATTTTATTTTATGCAGCCTTTTGACGAAGAAAACATATGTATCTGGATCCAAATTATTTTAAAGTAGATGTACAGGCGACTTTGAAGAAAAATGGATGGATGGTTGTATCCGATATTATCATCTGGATTCAACAGCATTTTCAAATCCGCTTTATCCTCACAAGGATCATGGGGGGTCCCTGAGCCTATCCCAGACGTCTTCGGGCAGTAGGTGGGGGACACCATGAACCATTTGTCTCTGCCAGTCAATCGCAGGGCACACAAACAACCATCCACACTCACACTCACATCTAGGGACAATTTAGAGTGTTCAATCAGCCTGCCATGCATGTTTTTGGAACGTGGGAGGAAGCCGGAGTACCCGGAGAAAACCGACGCAGGCATGGGGAGAACATGCAACTCCACACAGGAAGGTCGGAGTTGGGATCGAACCCACGACCTCTGCACTGTGAGGTCGACGCGCGAACCAGTCGACCACCTTGGATAAAACAATATGATGAAATAAAATTGGTGTGTGTGTGTGTGTACAGTACACAGAAATGAGCACATTGTCTCCCAGTGTTGGTGTTGAAAGTCACAAGCAAATTGAGGAATAATCTGAACACGGGTTGTCAGCATAACAGTCGTTTTCGACATGGCATATCAAGATTCGAGGCAGGTGCGCCGCTGGAGAGAAACACCCTCCAATCCAGCTGGAACTCATACAATACAAATAATTACAAACAGAACAAAGGGCTGTATTTTCATGTTTTTCGCTCTCACAACAGCTGCAGCTATAAGAAAGGGCACAACATAACGTGTTTCATGCAATATTGTTATTTTATCCATCCATTTTCCGATCCTCTTATACTCACAAGGGTCACGGGGGGTGCTCGAGCCTATCCCAGCTGTCTTCGGGCAGTAGGTGGGGGACACCCTGAACCGGTTGCCAGCCAATCGCAGGGCACACATAGATGAACAACCATCCGGGCTCACTCACTCACTCACTCGCACGCACGCACGCACGCACGCACGCTCGCACGCACGCACGCACACACCTAGGGACAATTTGTGTTCAATCAGCCTGCCATGCATGTTCCTTTGTGGGTTTTCTCTGGGTACTCCGGTTTCCTCCCACATTACACAGTCCCGGGGAGAACATGCAAAGTCCACACAGGGAGGCTGGAGCTGGAATTGACCTCACAGTGCAGAGGTACCGGGTTCAACGCGCTAACCACTGGCCCACCGGGCTGCCCTTGTTATTTTATTTAAAAAAAATAAATGCAATCAATAAAACACTTGGTACTGGGATATTCCAAACAATCTTGCATGTAGCAACACATTTCAGAACACGTTCAAGAGTATATGGTAGCAGAGGAAAAACAAACGAACAAAACATTTTATTTCCAGTTATAGATTACCTGCAGAAACGACAGGAAGTCCTATGAGGATGGAGTGAACGATTATACAGAATATTTGGCGACATAATTCTGGAAGAGAGCAAGAAATGTGTTCTAACGTTCTCAAGGTGGTGAATGGAGTGAACCTGGACTTGTGATAGGACAAGATGGAGTCACGGTAGCTGGACGTGATGAGGCTTTCTTATCCTTGGTGGTTATTTCACTGTGATTTAACACGGTGGGACTTTTGTCAGAGTTCACCACTCGTCATCTTCTTCATGTTGTTGTGGACCGACGGCACCAATACTCAGACGCATGAAGAGAGGGAACATTTAGCTCAACTCGTTGAGCATCCCTTGGATCACGGTGAGCAACATCGGATCTGGCACGGCCGCCAAACCTGGAACCCATCTGTCCAAAACCTGATGTCATGAGATGGGGAAAGGTGGTGGTGGCTACAAGACTGCTTTCGACCTGTAGTTAAACATCACTGTGAGCTGCAGCAAACGCCACGAGTGACCAAAAATGCAATACAGAACAGGTTGCCCATTGTTGTTAGTTACCTGTTAGTGCAGCTGCATGGCTGTGGGGATCGATCCAAACTGGGATGATTCTTTTCAGAATAAAAATGTTGGCATTTTCTCTTAGTGAGCAAAGTACAGTATAACAAAACATACATGAGGGAAACTATTGAGACAGCAATCTCTTTTTTGGCATCATCGATGCAGAGTTGTGTTCTAATTGCTGCTATTTTATTGTCTCCAGTACTGTAATATTGTAATTCTATAAATTGTAAAGGTCATGTGCACGAAAGACTATTTCAAACAGAAATGGCTTCATTTCAGTGTACGAGATCTTTGATTAAGGTCCTGTGAGACAGAAACGATTGCAGTTTTTAATCCTGGTGAAGATCCCAAGAGACTGCTTTTTTTTACGTGGAATCATTCATGAATGTTCAGATTTGGTTAGTAAAAACAAATAATTTAGCAATACAATCCTTTGGAAGCAGTTTACCGTATTGGCCCGAATAGAAGACTGTTTTTTTGCATTGAAATAAGACTGAAAAAGTGGGGGACGTATTATATTCGGGGTCTAGACATTATACCCATTCATGACGCTAGATCGCGCCAAATATCATTGGCCTGGGGAGTCAAGTTCAGCATTCGCTTCAAAGTGAATCCCTGTCACGAAGAATAAAAATAAAAATAGCGGTAGCACGAAGAAGAAAAATAAAAAAAATAGCGATAAGAAAGAAAAGAAAAAAAATAGAAGAGATAACAGAAAATGGAGAGACGTAGGGACAATCTGGAGAAAAGTGGGCCGAAGATCGGCCAGGTCAACTGGCACCTGAGGAGAAGTTATGATGTAATTTACACTTTGGTGTACATATTTAAATGTTCAGATATTAAGATTGAGAGAAAAAGCATGTTATTTTGCCTCATTCAAATATATTGTTATAATCATTTGTTTCAGATGTACTGTAATTATTTTCTGTATAAAAATTAATTTTAAGTTTGAAAAAAGACTTTGAACACCAGTCTTGAAAAAGAGGGGGGTCGTCTTATAATCAGGGCCGTCTTATATTCGGGCCAATACGGTTCTTAAACTACTTTTGCTAAGATTACTTAAGCGCTAAGTGGTGAGGGATCACTGTACGCTTTAAAACTTTTTCATGGCCACTCAAACAAGGAACATGATTGGCGACGATTCACTTGTACTCTCATTGGTCGATGTCGCACCGGGAACCTGTTGAATGTCTCGCATCCTGTATCTTAGTGTGTTCGTGATAGCTTATTTTTTTGGATTAGTTAAGCTGCGCTCCAACCCCTTGCCGCCCTCTGAAGCAATGACTGTCTTGTCCAGGGAAACCAAGACAAGAGATTTATTTAAGAAATACTTTTTTTTTTTTTTTTTTATAAAGAAAAGAAAAACATGGAGGGACACCATCCACAGATCTGTCAAGGAAGCCTTCTCCCACTCACGTCTTGTTTTTTTTTTGTGAAGAAAAAAAGTGAAAAGAAACTGTGGGGGTTTTTGTCAGACAACAATTTCACCTCATAAGGAGACAAGATGAACTTCTTAGCGACTTCTTGGCATGTTTTTCTCCAATTTAAAAACCTCAGCTACACTGTCATCACCTCCAGCAGAAGGGTCTCTGCGTGAACCGAAAGCCTACGAGTCAAGT